GGTGACTGTGCAGGCCATTGGAGATGTTCAACTTCACTTTCATGTTCATCAAACCAATCTTTCACCAATCTTTTAATCGACCGTTTCTGCCGAAACGTGGGGAACTTTGCCTTATTTTGACTGACGAATCACTCTTGCACAAAATAAACACAAAACGCCTTCTCTTTATCTACGTGAAAATTTATTAAAGCAATCAGCCTCATACATTCACCTCCCCGATTCAATAATCTTCACCTACTCAAACATGCAAAGTTCTACACAAAAGGGTAAAATATCTAACTAACAAAATAAAGCAAAACAGCAGTGTGTGTGTATTGAATCAACCAGCAGTTATGGCAAAAGTGGTAATGTGACAAAGGGATGTGGTGTGTTGAACGGGGTTTGAACAGTCCGCCAGAAGCGTAGCCCAGCGGGACACGGGCTGTCATAAAACCCCCACAGCAAAGTTGTAAACTCAGCTTAGACAAAGAGTCATAAACCTTTTGGCGGCAAGTTAGCAAGCAGTAACGTTGGAACAAAGAAAATGGTGAATTTCACCATGAGGTTACTGTCGTAGTCCAGTACAGGCGCTCCGGTGTTCGCCTGGTAAGACAACTTGTGAGACGCGGTGGCCTCAGGACTCAATACAATGTTGCATGCAAATACAATTTCATAACATCAGACTATAAATTGCGATTCTGATCGCACCAAAAATCCTATTTCTCTCTACCCTGCCCAGACTACTTCTAATAAAGAAATCAAAGAAAATAATAAAGGATGGGTATTACTTTGTGGAGCAATTCTTCAGGGCTGCCTGCGTGAGGGGGAGAGGAGGAGGGGAAAGTTGGAAGTTACGTGCGTCCACGGTTAACTTCTGGAAGAGCGGTCAATCTTCGTCCTTTGGCCTCCTTGGCGAAAGGGAAAAATATGATCTGACCGTCAGCAGTCGACTAGAACAAAAAAACAAGGTGGCGATCCGTCTCCTTGAAACTCTGTGGTTTTTTGGTTACGTGTTAAACTAACACCTTCGATCGGTAAAGTTGAAATTTCTGGCCTTCTTATTCCAGGAATTTCTGTCATGAACGTTCTTTTCGTGGTCAACGAAGGAGAATAAATGAAGATTTCACGTGGGACCTCTTCTTCTCCAGAGGATGCTTCAGTTGCGTGGTAATCTGTCGAGATCTCCAGCTGAAAAGCAAGGTTTAAAACACCCGCCTTCCATATATAATCTCGTGTGACGTCAGACTCGGGACGTCTCCGTCCTACCAGCCGCAGTGCCCACTGGGATTTGTAGTGGCGGATGATACTGGATACAAAATGGCCGATGATGTCGAAAGGCCTGGTGGTGTCCAGCAATGTGTAAACTGTCCAATATTCAGCAAACAAGTGGTCCAACAACATGGTCCTCAACAATGGTTCGGTAGTCCTTGGCAGTGAGGCGCCCATCTAGCACAAGTATTGGGCCAAGGGAATGCCATGATATGGCAGCCCAAACCATCACTGATCCACCCCCATGCTTCACTCTGGGCATGAAACAGTCTGGGTGGTACGCTTCTTTGGGGCTTCTCCACACCGTAACTCTCCCGGATGTGGGGAAAACAGTAAAGGTGGACTCATCAGAGAACAATATATGTTTCACATTGTCCACAGCCCAAGATTTGCGCCCCTTGCACCATTTAAACCGACGTTTGGCATTGGCATGAGTGACCAAAGGTTTGGCTATAGCAGCCCGGCCGTGTATATTGACCCTGTGGAGCTCCTGACGGACAGTTCTGGTGGAAACAGGAGAGTTGAGGTGCACATTTAATTCTGCCGTGATTTGGGCAGACGTGGTTTTATGTTTTTTGGATACAATCCGGGTTAGCACCCAAACATCCCTTTCAGACAGCTTCCTCTTGCGTCCACAGTTAATCCTGTTGGATGTGGTTCGTCCTTCTTGGTGGTATGCTGACATTACCCTGGATACCGTGGCTCTTGATACATCACAAAGACTTGCTGTCTTGGTTACAGATGCGCCAGCAAGAGGTGCACCAACAATTTGTCCTCTTTTGAACTCTGGTATGTCACCCATAATGTTGTGTGCATTTCAATATTTTGAGCAAAACTGTGCTCTTACCCTGCTAATTGAACCTTCACACTCTGCTCTTACTGGTGCAATGTGCAATCAATGAAGACTGGCTACCAGGCTGGTCCAATTTAGCCATGAAACCACCGACACTAAAATGACAGGTGTTTCAGTTTCATTGTCCAACCCCTGTAGTTTTAAAAGGTTTTTTGGTCTTTAATGATGAACAAACATTAATAAACAGAAGGTTCTTGTACTTTGGGCTGGGAATTCCCTGAGTTAGGATTGTGCCATTAGCTCTGGAAGTGGGGGGTTACAGATATAGCAGCTTAATGTATCGAAGACTTCCCCAATAAAAAAAAGCATTCAGCACAGAACACTTTTATTAAAACTAATGGTTACTCAGAAGATGTAGTCAGTAGGTCTGTAATAAAGGTGGAAAGATGAAGCCAAATTTGGACTTTCTGTTAAAGAACGCATTTGTGATAGTTCAGCAGTGTTAGGCTTGGTTTTTTTTTATATTTTATAATATTTATGGATTTGTTTTCTAGCTCTGTTTAACTGCCTTATTCAGGACCTAAAGAAACCCCAAATCATTAGCCCTTTATTACCATGCTTGACACTGTGAAGGTTTGCGCTGTTTGTTTTAGCTTAAAAGAAGCCCTATGTATTAAGTGTGATTTTTTTTTTTTTATTTGTATTATGAAGAACTTAAACATTGAACATGCTAACAGATGCCTCTACAATCTGAGATGGAAATCTTTTGTTTCTGCAGGTTTTCTGAGAGGTGGACAGACTGGCAACTGATTGGATGTTTTCCTCCTGCTACTACCACTTCTCTCCAGATTGTTTAGAAATACATTTACCCTGTGTAAATTGATGATTTTTAAAAATTATCTTTTAACATAATTATCATTTTACATGAAAATCTAATGATTCAGAGCAGAAAATCTCTGAAACCTCAGTTTTAATAGAGCTGCTAATCCTTCATGATACGTATTTAATCAATATGTTTGACTGACACCCACCTGCTTCTCATTTTCTTAAGCTGTAGAAAAGCAGCAAAGGTGTTTTTGCAACAGTAAGGACCAGGAGATTCTTTAGTTTGTTCTGATACATAATCTTTGAGCTGAAAGTAGCTGTTAACTTTTTATAATGATCGGTAGAGTGCCCTGCAAAAGTATCTGCTCTAAAAAAGTTGTGTATTATTGTAAAGTGGATGGAAAATAACATGGTTTCAAATATTCCTAAAATAGAAGTCTGAAAAGCGCATGTATATACAGCCCTAGTTGCTCTGATACACCTAAATAAAATCCAGCACAGCCAGTTGCCTAACTAGTTAAAGTATTTATATCCCTTGAACTTTTCACATTTTATCACATCAAAACCTCAAACTTCAATTAATTTTATCGGGATTTTATGCGATAGACTAATACAAAGTGGTGCATAATCATGAGATACATAATTTTCATAACATTTTAAAAATAAAAGTCTGAAAAGTAATCGTACTCGTCATCTTCCGCTTCATCCGGAAACCTGGTCGCGGGGGCAGCAGACACAGTTGAGACGCCCAGACTTCCCTCTCCCCAGAGGCCTCCTCCAGCTGAAAGACATAGTCCCTCTAGCATGTCCTGGTCCATCCCCTGGGCCTCCTCCCAGTGGGACGTGCCTGGAAAACCTCCCAAGACTCCATACCTGGCACAGAAGTCCAATAATGAAACATCACTAGAGGCCATTCCTTCCAATCACACCCCTCCAGGTGTCACTGTCTTTTCCAACGTAGGCATTGAAGTCCCCCAGCAGAATGATGGAGTCCCCGAAAAGGGCACTATCCAGCACCCCCGACACCAAGAAGGCCAGGTACTATGCACCACCGCTCAGCCCATGGGCCGAAACAACAGTCATTCCACTACCAACTTTGCAGATCTAGAGACTGAAGGTTTTGCCTAAATCAGCCCGCTTTCCTCCTACAGTCACGTAGTTACAAAAGTGAGTACACCCCTCACATTTTTTGTAAATATTTAATTATATCTTTTCATGGGACAACACTGATACAATGTAATGCAGTCAGTGTACAGCTTGTATAACAGTATAAATTTTCTGTCTTTTAAAAATTGATTGCCAACATGCTGAAATTTGTGAGAGACTGTATGTGCAATTTAACCTTGGTGCAATTCCAGCTGTTCTTTTAGGTCCATAGGTTTGTTAGAGATCAAACAGCATCATGAAGACTAAAGAACCCAGACAGGTCAAGGAGAACATTGTGGAGGGTTAGGTTGTAAAAGAATATCTCAAACATTGAACATTTCTCAAAGCACTGTTTCATCCACTATCAGAAAACCTATGGAGGGAAATTTATCTTTTTATTATTCCATTAAACAAAAAGTAATTTCAATCAAAAAAAATATTTGTGATCAAAACGTTTAAAAATGCAATGAAATAAATTCTACATAACATGTCGAAAAACCTTTGTTATGAATCTCAAAGGTTTGGTTTTGAAGCTACCTTTTTTTGGTTGTAGCTCCGTTGTTTTTGGTTGAAGCTGCCTTTTTTTGAATGAACTCAACAATTTTTGAGTGCTAAGAACATGAACATCCCAGGCGGGAGGAACAATGTAAGACGTTTCGCTATTGGTTGGTGCGGACTGAAGCGACAGCCTCTGATTGCACTGCAGGTCAAGGCTTCAGTGAGTGGTCATGCTAAAAAGAGCAGGGTACAAAGGCAGTGAGTGGTATGGATGTTCATGTTCTCAGCACTCAAAATTCAAGTCCAATCAAAAAAGGGAGCTTCAACCCAAAAACGGGAGCTTCAAAACCAAACCAAGATTCGTAACAAAAGATTTCTGACATGTTTGTAGACAAAACTTTACTTTGAAGTAATTTTTTACTCTGAAGTAAACTTATTTGAAGTAATTTATTTCATTGCATTTTTAAAAATTTGATCAAAAAGAGGGGGCTGCACGGTGGCGCAGTTGGTAGCACTGTTGCCTTGCAGCGAGAAGGTCCTGGGTTCGATTCCCGGCCGGGGGTCTTTCTGCATGGAGTTTGCATGTGTGGGTTCTCACTGGGTACTCCAGCTTCCTCCCACAGTCCAAAGACATGCCTGTTAGGTTAATTTGTCACTCTAAAATTGCCCTTAGAATGTGAGTGTGTGCATGGTTGTTTGTGTGTTGCCCTGCGATGGACTGGCAACCTGTCCAGGGTGTACCTTGCCTCTCGCCCATAGACTGCTGGAAATAGGCACCAGCTTCCCCACGACCCACTATGGAATAAGCGGTAGAAAATGACTGACTGATCAAAAACAGTTTTTTTGATTGAAATTACTTTTTGTTTGATTAAATAATAAAAAGGCAAATTTAACTCCATAAAAACTACCAAGACATGGAAAAGTCGTGCACATCGGAAATTTGGCTTTTATGTTTTAAGAAAACCACAAGACGTTTCTGTCTTTAGATGTGCAAGGCTCGCAGAGACATACCCTGAAGACTTGCAGCTGTGGGGGCATGGAGCTTGTATACACCGCAAACTTATTTTAGATATTTATTCGTAAAAACCATTTATCATTTTACTTGCGTTACTATGTCCCAGAAAATCAAAAAAAAAAAAAATACATTGAAGTTTGTTGTACTATGGTTTGTAGATGTGCAAAGATTGTGCATATGCTATACTAGTTGGTGTAACTGCAGGGTGAGAATGTTCGAAACCATCTACCATTTTTCTTCCCCTTCAAAATGCTGCTTATACAGTACGTTAAACATAAATTTCTAATCAGTCTCAAAAACAATATTTCAAATTATGTTTTACCAATCCATCAATAATTAATCTTTACAGTATTAACTAACCATACAGTTGGAATCTCTGTCTCTCATTGGTTTTTAGTCACCTGCTCCGTAATATCAGAAACAGCAGCAAACTGATTTTCCTGCTGAGCTGGGTGACAGCAGCAGGGATTACAGCACAGAGAGGCTAGCACGATAACCACATGAAGGCTACTCCACCGAGCCTGTGGATTAAGATATTTAAAAAAGCTGCAAACAGGTTTCAGTCCTGTAATTACTTCTGAATTGTGATCTGAGTGCTGGAGCTGCAGCTCTCAGTTCAGCAGGGAGGAAGCTGCAGCTCTATCTGCACTCTTATCATTTCGGTATTTCTGGCTGCGGTGCTTTCCAGTTGTGCGCACTGAGAGGAAACTGGGAGCAGCTTCAAAGCCAAACACTGGAGCTGCCTTTTTCCTGTACTACCTCTTCACATTGTGTGCGATGTTTTCTTTTGTGTTCAGTAAGTTTCTCATCTGATTTTTGTGGACCTGCTTTGGTAAGAAACTGAGCCAAGTGAGTCCAAAGAGCAGGACAGAAGGAGAGAGAGGGAATTTCCTTTTAGAAATGAAACAAGGCCACAGGCGATAATGTGACACGATGAGTAGACAACAGTCACAGGCAGAGGTTACTATAGGAGAGAGCTCTGTGTCATGAACAGGAACAAGGGTGTCTTTTCAGAACTGAAGATTAATTATGATTCATCCCAAAGCCCAAGAAATGAGGAAAGTTTTCATTATGCTTCATGCTTCATGTATATTTAAACACTGTAGACAAGTTTTCTTTCTTTTTATCATCCTTGCTGTCAACAATTATTTCAATCTACACACAGAGGTCAAAACACAGCTTAAAATAATTTGAGAGTAATCCAAGGCCGTATGGACAGCAGATTTTTGTTTGGTAGCTTCCAGTCTGAATACAGTCCCCACAAGAGGCAAGGTGTTTATTTAATGCAGTGAAAAGCACATGCAAACTGAGGAGAAGTTCAGATGGCATTAAATGTTTTTGTCGTTTTCATTTATCTTATTTCATTAGAGAGAGTATAAGCTGAGCACATTTTATCATTTGAAATTTCATCACCAACTCAAATGATCCACCCCCCCATTGTCTTGTGATGCATGTCAGAACTTAGCACTTACTTTAAGCATGCAGCAGCAAATAACTGCAGCATCTAACAACCAGCATCTGATGTGGCAATAAAACTTGATACAGGTGCATCTCAATAACTTAAAATATCAGCGAAAAATTGCATTTCCGTAATTTAATTCAAAAAGGGAAACTCGTATTCATTCCATTCCATATTCATCGGCTTACAGTTAATAAAAAAACACAAATTTAATTTGTTCGAAAGGTGGAATATAACATCAGACCAATTAATAAAATAGGATTTTTATTAAAGAAATGGCGGCTTACTGAAAAGTATGTTCATGTCCTGTAGAGTATATACACTCAATACGTGGTCTGGCCTCCTTTTCCATGAATTACTGCATCAGTGCTGAGTGGCATGGAGGCGATCTGTCTGTGGCTCTGCTGAGGTCTTAAGGAAGCCCAGGTGGCCTTACTAGCAGCCTTCATCTCATGGCTGTTGATGACTCTGGGTCTCTCCTGACTGGTTTTGATCAGGTGGGTTTGCTGGCCAATCAAACACAGTGATACCATGGTCATTAAAACAGGTAATGGTACTTTTAGCAGTGTGTATAAATGTCAAGTCCTGCTGGAAAATGAAATCAGCACCTCCAGCAGAGGAACTTGATAAAACTCAGTAGGCCAACACCAGCAGATGGCATGGCTCCCCAAATCATCACTGACTGTGGAAACCTTTCACTGAACCTCAAGCAGCTTGGTCTTGGTGCTGTTCCACTCTTCTTCCAGACTCTGGGACGTTCATTATCAGATGGAATGCAACATATGACAATGTGTGATGGTTCATAAAGCTCTGACTAGATCTGCTCTCCACGCCTTGTGAATCTCCCTGAAACTCCAATGGGCGTTGCTTGCTTGAAGTTTGGGGTTATCCTGGTTGCGTGTGCATCATTTTCTCATCATCATCACACTTTTTCCCTTCACACAATTTTCTGTTAATATGATTGGATGCAGAATTATTTTCCCCATTCCCCACAACCTAACATTTCTGTATTAGAAACCCTCTTTTTATTGATCTGATGTAATATTGTAATCTTCTATAAAAGTGAACTGTAAACCATAATAAACACAACTGACACAAATAAACACTAGAAATATGTGTGATAGATCTATATGAATGTATATTTTTGAATTAAATTTCATGAATGAATAACTTTTGATAATGCTGCGGTATTCTTCATACACCGTACATGTGTCGGTTTTCTCTGGTGCTCTGGCCTGCTTCCCACAGTTATAAAACATGCAAGTTAGAATAAATATATGATGCATTGACAGTCATTGCAATGTAATCTGACGTCACCATAACAGCAGATTCTCTCATGCGTGGGAGCTTGGGTGTTGTGTTTGCCAAACGAAAGCAGTGAGTGAGAGTGAGATCGGTGCAAACATGAATGAGCTGCATAGGGTCGGTATAGGTATGTTCAGTCGTTAACATGTTCCGTCAGTAAATGATCTATAATTGCATCGCAGTGTTCTGAATCAAACCTACAGAGTCCCACCCCCAAATGGGCTTCAGCAAGCAATTAAACACCAGCTTTCACAGCAAGATTAGTTAATTACAATAGCTGCACTGTGGAGAAGTTGTTGGCGCTGTTGCCTTGCAGCAAGAAGGTCCCTGCTTCGAACCTCGGTTTGGCGTCTTTCTGCATGAAGTTTACATATTCTCCCCAGCATGCATGGCTTCTCTCCAGGTACTCCTTCTTCCTCCCACAGTCGAAAAATATGACTGTTAGCTTCTATGGTCTCTAAATTGCCCTTAGTGTGTGTGTGTGTGTAAGGTTGTTTGACCTGTGTGTGTTGCCTTGTTATTGATTGGCACCCTGTCCACAGGTACCCTGGTTCTCACCCATCTACTACTGGAGATAGGCTCCAATTGCCTGGCCTTTGTTGGTTTGCAGTCCACAATGTTCTCCTTGACCTGTCTGCTTTCTTCCTTGGTCTTTATGATGCTGTTTGTTCACTAATGTTCTCTAACAAACTTCTGAGGCCTTCACAGGACAGCTAGATTTATAATGAAGTTAAATTATACACAGGTGGAAGTTCTATTGTACCTGTTTAGATGACCTGTGAAGGCAAGCCCAGGCAATACTGGATTTTATTTATGGGTATCAGAGTAAAGGGGGCTGAATACAAATGGCCATCAAGCATTTCTGATGTTTATATGTAAAACATCTTGTTACCCATGTATTCCACCTCATAATTATGCACTACTGTGTGTTAGTCAGTGGTTTGTATACTTTTGCAAGGCAAAGCAATTCACTTCATTTGGCCATAATCAGCACAGTTATTTCACAGCTTCTTCTGCAGTGTCATCAAAAAAACTACAACCCAAGCTTCCTGCTTTGGCCTTTATACACAAACGTTTTCCCTAAAGCTCCCCACATTATTGTGTACTTTAAATGTTGAAAAACCCAGATCTGTTCAGTTTTATATTTAATGTTGTGGTTGATTCCTACTCTTCTGAAAGAGTTCGGCTTTAAATTGGAAAACTAAATCGTTCTTTGTTTGGTAAAAATGAGCCTTTGGAGGCTCCTTTCATTCTTCTGCTGTGCTGTGGATGACAGTGTGCCACTACTGTGGTGCACTGCCCCTTGGTGGTTATATGGTGGACATACAGTTCACAATGAGTGCAGAAATAAGTTATTTTCTATGTTTCTAATAATCTAGACAATTCCTTAGAAATGTGATCCCAAATGTTGGAATTCCATAACTAACAAAGACAGCAAGCATAAAAAATGGTCATCAGTTCTATTTAATTTATTTAATTGTGATATAATTAATTGTACCCACAGTTAGGGAGCTTACTGTTATTTGCCTGGGTCAGCCTGAAATAGGAGCACTACGCTCAAGTGTCTAGTATTGTTCCTAAAATAATCATTTGCAATAAAATCCTTTATTCTTTCCATGACTCTCTTTTTTGGGTTTTGTCCTAGAAAATCTAATCCTCAAAACTTTAAATTTTAAGTGGTTCTTGCAACATGACAAAACAATGTAGAGTACCTTGCAAAACAATTCATACTCGTAGATATTTTATGTTGCATTGAAACTACAAATGATAGTATATTTTATTGGGATTTTATGA